AAATTTTAATTCTCTCTTCCCAATAATTTATAATGAATACTTGTAGACATACAATGAAGTTGAAAGAATTTTACAGTGAACACCCATATACCCACCACTTAGATTTTACTGTTAACATTTTACTATACTTATTTGATCCTTCTATTCATTGATCCATCTTGTATTTTATGTACTTCAAAGTAAACCGCAGTCATCAACACATTTCCCCCTATATAATGCACACGGGTATGACTAGAGTTCAATATTTGATATAAAACTTACAATGAAATGCATTAATCTTAAGTATCTATTTGCTGAGTTTCAGCAAATACATACACCATTGTAACCCTATCAACATACAGAAAATTACCATTACCCCAGAAAGTTTCAGAAAGTATGTACTCTTCTGTAGTCCCTTTACACAGCATATTTCTTATATTCTTCCATATTGTTGTATCATTAGTTTTCTCCTTCTTTTTGCTTAGTACTTGTTGCATGAATATATCACAGGTTTCTTAATCTTCATGCTTATATCTTTTAACTTGACTGAGTACTTTCCAAACACCATATGTAACATTACCAATCTACCCACAAAAGAGGTTTATACTTCTCCCTGGGTTCTTTTCTATATATTATGTGGAGAAGATAAAGTGGTTGAAAAAGGAGAAATAAAATCGCGCTAGCTTCTTTATTCTTGCTGATTTGCATCTGTCTGAGCGTTATTTACAAAAGTCACATGCCTGGTAACAGAATCAGTCATCACAGGCATGACCCAGATGAGCTTATGATCACTTGTTCCATGAACACCAAGTTGGAAATCTGTTCCATTTTTTGCTTCAGGTGTCCTCTGAGGGGACAGGGAAGAACTAGCTCATGCTCTTAAAGAGCTCTTCCCAAACATTCAAGGTGTCAAAAGGCTCCTGAGCCAATTCTCCTCCAGGTTGAATAATCCCTGTACTAGTTTGCTTGTTTCATCTTTAATAACAATTTTTGTAATTTACTTTTGAAGCTTTTCTTGGTTCTCCCAAAGTCTTCCTAAATTTAAAATTAGACACATAATCATATTAAGCATCTAGCCAAAGCTCCACTTGTCAATGCCTCATCAAGTTTTATTTTTATTTCTACCAGAAGAGTATTTTGTTTTTGTTGCACCACTGTAATTTCGAGTCACTTAAGAAAAATTTATCCATCAAACCTTTAATATTTTCTAAATGAAAGCCCCAAACTGGATAAAATGTGAGCATTCAGTAAATCTCTTGCCTGCCAAAGATTATAAGATAATTTTATTTGGTGGAAAAAGTACTTGGTAATAGATCAAAAGAAAAATAAAAAGTAAAATTAAATTGAAATAAGAATTTCAGAAAATAAATTCACAACCCATTAGTTACTATTTTTTCTTATTTTGAAAAGTAATGTACATTTGGAATATTGGTATATAAAATTATGAAAATATTAAAAAGTATGAAGAAAAACATGATCATCATCAGACTATCACCACACAGAGTTACCATCCTGGCATGTTTACTTCTTTTTTCTACATGTACTTTTTAAATGAATCGAAATACTGCATATTCTATTCATATTTTTTCTAACTTGATGTTTTATCACAATTATTTTCCCTAACACATTGAAATCTCTTTAACAAAACTTTGATCATAGTATTATATCCCATCAGAAGTTTTCCACTCGCCTATTATTGATTATTTAATTTGTATCCAGTCTTTTCTAGTGTAAGTAATATTGTGATGAACACGTTTACAATCAATTTCTGTCCCAATGCTTTTTTTAAAATTTTGGTATCATTAATATACAATCACATGAGCAACATTGTGGTTACTAGATTCCCCCCATTATCAAGTCCCCACCATGTCCCAATGCTTTTATTATTATGTATGGTAAATTGCTGGAAATGCAATTACCCAGCCTAGGCACATACATTTTTCCTACATATTATCAAGCTCTCCAGAACTGCTGTACCTTATGCTCCGGGGAACTGCATGTACCTGTCTCATCACACTCCCCAGTACTGAGCAATTGTGATTTTTTAAATGTTTGTGGTATCTTATTTCCTTTGCAATTACTTGATTATCTTTAAAGTTAACATTTCTCATGTTTATGAGCTACCCGTATTTCTTCTTTAGTTCATGCCCTTTGCTCGTTTGTAGGATCTGAATATTTTCTCCCACATTAGGCCTATTCCTTGATGCCCGTTTCGCTTGAGTTCCTTCGAAGCAATAACGGATAGCCTCCACTGGCAAAAGGCTCAAAGGAAAGGGGGTCGTGGAGGGTAGGACAGGGATGTTAGGACGCAGGCATGGTTGAAAATGGTCGTTGTTAAAAGTTCAGATTTGGAGATAAGGTGTGTTAAGGGAGTTGTTAGGAGGGAGACTGAGATGTTAGGGCGGGGATGAGGATGGGGTGGGTGAGGCAGTGGTGGAAGGTCACGGTTTTCGGGAAGTTTAGCTTCGGAAGGAGGCGTTGAGCGCATACAGGGTTAGAATCGGGGTTTGGCGCTGGCATGTTAAGGGTGACGGAGCGCTGAGCTCGCAAAGGTGTAAGTGGGTTGGGGAAGGCTCCCCGGATTCGGATGCGCCCCAAATCTCGCCCCTTGCTGGAGTCCAGGCCACCGCAAGGTGCCCAAGTCCCCGCTGGACAGTCAGACCTTACCTGCTGCTTCAGTTCCCGAGTGCGGCGCTGCAGGGCCTGCAGGGAATCGCGCGGCCGCCGGATCAGCATCTCCCAGGCTGTGGCTCCCAGCGCAAGCCCGTCGTCAGGGAAACCAGGCTGCGCGGCCGGAAAGTGACGCCATCATCGCGCGCCCGCCTCGCGGCCTGGCGCCCGGCCGACTGGACGGACCCGGCTGCGGGTCCATCCTCCTCTGCTGCCGCCGCCACCCGCCGGTCCTGAGCTCTCAGCCAGGGCGCGGCGCACGACCCTCGTAGTCATTGTTTCGCCGCCAATTCCAAAGGATGGGGTAGAGATTAGGGAGAATGCCCCACGGCGTCCGAAACTACACATCCCACAATTCCGCGGTACTAGCACGACATCCCTGTGGGTACTCAGTATCATGGCATTTGTCTTCTAATACCAGTTTTGCTAAACTAATCTTAGGGTACAACTTAAGCATCTTAAACTCATAATTAACTGCAAGGCTAGCTTTTATATATGGCCTTAATGGGACGCTTGGTTCTGTTGGATACTGTCATTTTAAAAGGCAGTTGTTAATTTTTTGCCACCTGGAATATTGCTTTAGTTTCATTTCACTCCAGTGGTGCTTTCTCATCCCGAGGAATGTGAGGATAGTGATTCTGTCTATTCTACAACAAGTCTGTGTGCAAATAATTAGGATTTGCACTTTACATCTCCTTTTTGGGAGACTAATAACATTTACCCAAATGGTGCTGAATTCTACAGATCCCATTCCCAAACTTTCCACTGCAGTGAGTAAGAATGATGATGATCTGAGCTCCCGTTTCAAATGATGAATCAACACACAAGTTGATTCCACAAGCCCAACTGCTATGCTTAGTGTACTTTTTTCAAGTATAATACACGTAAAGTGACAAGCATCCACCTCACTGAATTTTCGCTGAACACGCCCCTGTGTGACATTACCCATTAGGACAGAACATTACAAGCTCCTTAGTAGTCTTCCCTTCTAGTCTCTACCCACTCCCAGCACTGCACCAAAAGTAAACATTAGCCTAACTTCCAACAGCAAAAACTGTTTTGACTCTTTTAAAACTGTACAGTGAAACCATGCAATGTGTACTGGCATCTTGTTGGGCTTCTTTCACTCTATATTTGTAAGAGGCATCTGTATCATTGTGTGTGTTGTTTGTTCAATCTAGAAGCATAAGTTCATCAGACTACAGTCATTTAGTTCTATCACCTACAGAAGATTGCCATAGAAGTGTCACCTGGTGTACAGAATTTCCTGCCAAGTGAACTGTAGACAGACACATTGCATTTGAGTTCTAGAGTGAGGTTATCCAATGAAAATGTCCACTAGGTAGTTGAACTTGTGAGGCTGGAATTCAAGAAAAGGATCAGGTGAAACAGAAGGATCTGGGAAGGGGTCTGCTTGGATTTGACAGTTCAGCCTAAGGAATGGTTGGGGTAGTCAAAAGGGTAGAGCAGAGGACCAAGGATTGTCATTTCAAGAACTTGGAAAAAGACAGCCATAGTACAAGTTTGGAAACTCAGGGAAGTTTTAGGGAAGCAAGGAAAGGAGAGTTTCAAGGGAGTAATTGGCATTATCATATAGACTGGAGGTGAAAGGTAAATATTCAGAAATGTCTATTACATATCAATGACTGTGGAGGGTGCAGACAGCAGACTAGAGCAGGGTAATGGGCAAGACATTTAAGAAGAAAAGTGGTGGTGGACCACTCTAAGAAATGATGGGGTCAACTAATGGGATTTTTTTTTAAAGATCTGTTCATATTTGTACACAGAGGGAAAGCTGGGAGAGACTGAAGCTGCTAGAAAGAGAAGTGTACTAAAGAACAAGGAAGGTCCTGGGGTCCGGGGGGGGGGAGATGCAGAATTCAAGTGAGGCAAGAGGGGATTCAGCCTTGGAAGGGATCTGTACATCTCTTCTGAAAAAGGAAAGTGAAAGAGCCTCAAAACTAGCTATTTCGAGCATCACAAGCACCAGGGGAGCTTTAAAAATCCTCATGCCCAGGCACACTCCAAACTACATAAATGGAAGTATCTGGGGCGTGGCATGCAGGAATTGGTATTTTTTTTTTTATTCACAGGGTTCATTTATTATTTTGTACTGAAGTATGTTTGATATACATTACATTGGTTTCAGGCATATAATACAATCATTTGACGATTATACACATTAGTATATGCTTAGCACTATAAGAATAATTATCATCTGTCATCAAAGATATTACAATAGACATAGACATTGCAATACTATTGACTATGTTCCCTATGCCTCACTTTCATCCCCATGACAGGAATCATTTATTCTTTTTTTTTTTTTGAGAGGGCATCTCTCATATTTATTGATCAAATGGTTGTTAACAATAAAATTCTGTATAGGGGACTCAATGCATAATCATTAAACCACCCCAAAGGAATTAGTATTTTTAAGTTTCCTAGATGATCATGATATGCACCCCTGTTGAAAACCACTGTCCTCAAAAGAGCTACCAAGAGGAAGATGAAGGAATTCCCACATACGGACTTCACCTTCTCTTACAGTTGAGAGCAATCTGCTAGGAATAAGAGAAGTAAACTGGGGATGTGGACAAATGCAGCTACAACACCAGAAGGGTACACTTACACTTAGACCCCATTTGGAGTAGCTAAGTGAGAAAGGTGCAGGTTCTTTCTCTATTAAGTTAGGTGGCCCAGAGAGAGCAAAAGCAGTGATGAAAGGTAAATATGTAGGCAGGGAGGGAGTCTGACCCAACCACATCACCCAGAATACATGAGGTGAATTGCAAGGGAGGAATAACCAGTGGTCTCCTCCAGAGTAGGCAGTTCTGTAAGTGCAGAGGTGGGGAAGATGTGAGTTGTCCTTGAGGAAGGTTTACCAGCTGAAACTGAAGAAGCCAAGTATGATGGGACAATAAAGTCCAAGACTGTGACAAGGTTCAGGTATGGCTGAAGCAATGTGGAATGGAGCAGGTCTGAAGAGCCTCAGGGGGTCAAAAGGAAGGGTAGGTAAATAAAAATGGGCCAATGCAACAGGTAGCTGCTGTGATTACACAGCAGTGACAAAAGAGAGGGGGTGAGATATGTATGTCAATGAGTCAAGTATCATTTCCAGGTTATACCACTGGTATCATCTCTGGCTCCCAACTTCCTCATTGCCAATTCTGGCTAACATGAAAAAAGTTAACATCTCCATGTAAGACAATATCCTCAGGGAAAAAACCCAGGCAGAGGGCAGAGGGCAAGAAGAGAAAAAGTGATTGAGGAGCTGTCCCAGGGAGTGACCCACCACAGGGCTGGGGACACATGAGCAGTGTAAAGAGGCTATAGGGGACAAATAAGAGTGATATGGGGTGGCGAAAGATCACAGAGGACCTAGACAGGACTCAGGGTGAGTAGCACATGCCCAGAGGGGCAGGGGTGGCAGTTGAGACAGCAGAGGGAGATGAGGGTGTCAGGGTGCTGCACACAATGGGAAAAGAATCAACACTGAGAAGACCAGGTCCACCAGGAACATGGCACAAGAACAGAACCAAACAGCCATAAGTGGTTATAACCCAGATGCTTAACAGGATACATCATAACATTCCCAGGCAGCATGTGCCTTGAGACCCCCCCTGGCTCACAGTCTCAATGACAAAAGGTGAGTAGGATACTTCAGGGTACTCATCCCCAGATGGGATGAAACTTAAGAATTAACATTTCAGTCCCTGCATTCACAGAATGAAAATAAAGTTGGAAATAATAAAGTGTAACATTCCGGTAAAATGGGGAGGAAAAAAAAAAGCTTTCTGTGGAAACAACTTCTTTGAATTTCCTTAATATGGAGCTGCTGTTAAATTTGCTGAGACATAAAATTAATCTTTATAGGAATAAGCAAGGGCAATATTCTAAAAAACACCTCTTGCAAAAAATAAATAACCAGGGACCTGGACACAGTCTAAGATCCCTTCAAGAGGGTTTCTACTTCACATGCATATTCCATCATGACACACAAATGAAATTTTTGCCAATAAAGCTTATACTCTGCACCTGGAATATGTTGTCACTCTCAGAAGTGCAAAGGTTTTACATACATCACTCTTGCCTCAGTTATTTTTACAGAGCCCCTGGGTTTCCTATATAGGTCCAGTAAAACAGGTGACCAGAAGGACTGGTAACAGTCCCTAAGCTAACTCCACTTTATAGGTTGTCCCACAAAAGAACCGGCATAGGTTGCTTAAGAAGACACCTGCTCAAAATTACTATTACATCAGTTTTGAGAATCCAGATTTCTTGATGCAATAAGCTGCAAGACAAGCAAGATACTCCTTTTCCTTATGATAAAAGGTTCAGAGATGTTTATAATTTTTATTTTAAAAATAAAATTGATTCATAAAGTGCAAGGAGAAATTATTTCTGTCCAGTGCTGTCCATCCATCTTCAACATGCTATTGGAAACAGAAAGAAAAAAAAATTAGAAATACACAATCGTTAACTTCAAATTATTCTACTGTGGAGTTAAATCGTGAACCATAAGATCTGATGTTACAGATAAGAAAACTGAGACCCTGAAAATTTGCACAGCTCTAACATAAATCTAGGCCTCTAGGCAAGGCTCCTGACTTTCGGCCCATTCATGCCCTTTTCATCTTACCGGCTGCCCTGCCCGTGACAAAGGAATTCAGACTGGGGATTAGAAAACATGAACGCAAAGATGTATGGTGCTACCCAGGATATCATCGAAAAAAATAAGGGGTAAAGGGGTGCAAGTACAACTCTACGGCCCATTTTCTTTTCTCCTCTTTCTTTACAGTATTTTGTTTTTAAGTTTAACGTTCTGAATGTGCAACGCTATTTCACGTGGTAAGACATGCCCGTTAAACACACGCAGAGAACTTAGCTACACCAGTGCAAGTTGTTAGGGAAAACAAAACTCCCTCCTCTTTCCCACGTCGGTGAGAGCGAGTCACCTCCTGTGAGCTATCCAAAAGCCCTCCCACCCTAAGATATCCGTAGGCCCCAAAGTCTCCTCCCCTTTGAGGGCAACTCAAGCAGCGCTCACCGACACTCCAAGAGGAGCCGGGCGCGGCTGGCGGAGTGAGATGAGCCTGGCTCAGGCCGCCTGCACCCGAGCCCCCGCGCCGCGGAGCGAGGTGGCCGCGCGGGGGCCGCGGCGCTGGGGCTCACGCCAGGTCCAGCTTCTTCTGAGTCATCGCCAGCTTGTCCTGCAGCCTCCGCTTCCTCCAGTCCAGGTAGCGCCTCCGCAGCCGGTTCGCCTGCCAGCCCACCAGCACTCCGGAGGCGAAGGCCAGCAGCACTGACACCTGTAGCGTCCTCTCCGACACGTCCGGCATTGCAGCCGCCCGGCGTGGGGCACGACCTACGGCGCGGTGAAGGGGTCAAACGGCGCAGCGCGCTCACGGAGGGGCGTGTGCGGGGCGGGGCGCGCGGGGCGGGGCGCACGGGGCGGGGCGGCGAGGCCGCAGGACTCCTAAGGATTCGTGCATCTGGCCTTCTCCTGCGGATTTGCGGGGTTGCTGGTATCCCCGCCTTTCCGTCCTCTGAGCCTTGCGGTATTTGTCGTTTGGCATCCATCAGGCATTGCTTTGCATTATTTGCTGCCTTTGGTGGTGTGTCTTTCCCACCCTCAGGACCCTATGCATTTTGTTTCAGCAGTAGAATGCAAGCTGCATATGTCACTTTAAATTTTCTGGTGACCCGTTTAACAAAAACATGACAATATTTTTAGTAATGTATTTTACTTAACCCAGTAGATACAGGATGGTACCGTTTCAAAATGTAATCCGTATAAAAATTATTAACGAGATACTTCATTCTTTTTTTATACTAAGCCTTTGAAATCTCATGTCAATTTTATAATTAACAGTACATCTAAATTTGAACCCTAAGCTTTTAGTGGAAACACTTGATCAGTATCTAGATTTCACAAAATTTAGTTGAAAAATTAGATCCACATACCCACACTGTTCCAAAGACACAAAAATTCTCCAATAACTGATTATCAGCTTTTAAATTTAAGTTTAAATTCATTAAATTTTTTAAAATTCAAAGTCACCTCTTCAGTCACACTAGTCACATAGAGGGCTAGTGGCTACCATGTTGGACAGCAAGGTCTAGCCAGAACTAACACTGGGTCAGAGCTGTTGGGAAAGAGGGCAAAAATTCTGAAGATGAGAGTCCTTGTGGTGGACAGACCCTTAGTGATCCCCAATGATTTCCACTTCCTAATGGTCATGCCGTCCTAATGGTCAAGCCCCTTAAGTGTGAGCTGTTTCTGTGGCTTGCTTCTGCCTAATAGAATAAAGCAAAGGTGCTGAGATATCACACCTATGATTCCTTTATGTTAAATGAAACATCTTGACAGACTGATGACTCTCCTTGTGGGTTTGATGAAGTAAGCAAAATTGCTGAAGAAGCTAATAGAGCCAAGACCTGCAGGTGGCCTCTCGGAGCAATGGGATGCCTCCAGCCAACAGCTGGCAAAAAGCTGTAGCTCTCTGTCCTGCTAACACGAAGAAATTAATTCTGCCCCCAACTTGAATCAGAAGCAGAATCTTCCCCAGTCCAGCCTCCAGATGAGAACACAGCATGGTTGATGCCTTGATGGTAGCCTTGTGACAGAGGCCCCATGTGCCTGGACTCCTAACCCATGGGAAGTTGATGTTATAAATGTGTGTCGAGTCTCTAAGCTTGTGGTAATTTGTTACACAGTAATAGAAAACTAATACAGCCATGAAAAGGAGACAGCATGTGGAAGCCTGAACACTTAGATTGGAGATCTGACCTCACCTCTCTACAGACATCAGCAACAGGCCTTTCATGCTTGACGCAAAAACCTATCTTAGTAAGGAGATGATGAAGACAGTATTGGATCCAGTGTGAATTCACATCTGCCATATCTGCCATGTTTAATGTTCATTTAGTCAGCAAATATTTATTGAATGCTGCAGTAGGCTTTGGGAATGTAGAGGTGAATACAGCACAACATCTGCCCTCAGATGGCTTAATGCAGAGAGAAAGAGATGGGGAAAGAAAGAATTAGACACATTCAGATGAATTGGAATATGTAGTTAAGTATGTAGTTTAGACTTAAAAAATAAAAACACCCAGAAACATTCTCTTTCTCTCTTACACTCCATCCAGCCTATCAACTGATCCTGTTGGTTCTATTTCAAAGTATGGCCAGAATTAAGCCACTTCACACCACTTCTCTCCTTACTGCTACCATTGGGTCCAAGCTGCCATCAGCTCAGTTACCTGAGTTATTGCAGTACCCCTGTCAGGTTTCTGTGCTTTATATCTGTTCACTACATTCTGGTCTCAATACAGCAGCCAGAGCAGGCCTTTGAAATCAGAAATTGGATCGTGTCCCACTTCTGCTCAAACCCTGCAGTGGCCAGAAGTGCCTACGGTGGTCCACAGAGCCCTGCATGATTAGTTCCCCTCCTCTCCTCATCCCTCACTGGTGTGCTCTTTGTTTCTTGAGCTCACCAGGCATGGGGCTCCCTAAGGAATTTGCATGTGCAGTCCCCCTGCCTGTCATACTCTTCCCCCAGGTACCTATATGACCAACTTCCTTCCTGCCTCTTAGGTTTCTGTCACTGTCTCCTTCTACACAATGTCTACCTGACAGTTTAAAAATCACATACCAAGCCAACCCTACTCTCTGGCACTCTCAATTTCCATTTTCATGCTCAATTCCCCATCTCCATATACTTTCTGCCTTCCCCAGGTTGTGGAATTTATTTATTTATTACACTGATGGTTTATTGCCTGTCCCCTGCTGTAATGTTAGCTAGCCAAGGCCTGGGGTCTTTGTTTCAGTTGTATACTGGTGAATCCCAAGTGCCTACAATGGGCTGGCACATAACAGACACTCAATAAACATTTGGTATTGCTGACAGCAGGGAGTGGTCAGGGAAGACTTCTGGGTATGTGGCTGGACTGAATCTTGAAAGATTGGTAGGGTAGTCAGAAGAAGAGATGAAATTTCTCTGGATCTCAGTTTTCTCATTTGTAAAAGAAGGAGTTTGGTCTGATTTAACAGCTCTAAGAAATTTTTAAAAGCCAGTTTTGGCAGGGTGAGTGTGTATATTTGGGTCACTGGTATTATTGCAAATTTGAATCTCACTTGGAGTCCTTGCCTCATCTCTAAGTGGCTTTTAGGCTAAAAATAAGCTAGATCATGTATGCTGGAGCCTTAAATTTGGGAAAACCTTAGACATGGGATTGGGAGAGACCATAGAAATACCCTTATTTTAACAGGAGGAAACTGGCCAGAGGGGAGAATAGAGCTGCTGGGAGGAGGCAGCGGTATAAGATTTAAAATCCCTCTTAAAGAGCCAGCGTGTCCCCTGCTTGAGACTTTGTGCTTTTCCCTGGGTGCATTGTTTCAGTGGGATATTTTAGTAGACTTAATAATGGTCAACCAGCTTGGAGCTGATGATTAAATTTGGATTAACAGGCTGAATAGTCAAGTGTAATGAGTTCATCAATCACAAGTGTTCTTTTGAATGATACGTTAACTGGCGCTGTTGAGTTTGTTGTAGAAGTGCTTTCCAAGGGGAAAGACTTTACTATTTACAGTATTAGACCTTTATTGACTTCAAGTCCATACAAAGTGTGTACGTGGAATTGGTCTCCTCTGCAACTCCAGTAGTCATTTTACACCCTCAAGTCCTGATCAGGGTGGATATTCATCTAATTAGGTCCTTGAGTTCTGGCTCAGAAGAACTACTGTTGGGCCTATTCCCCTCAGACACAAACACACAGCCCCAGGACTAAGGAGACTAACTGCCAGACCCTTTGTATCCCCTTCTCTTCCATGAGTTGTTGGAAGTGAGAAGAGAAATGCCAGGGTGGTTGGGTGTCCTGCTGAACTCATGCATCTGCCACGGCCAGCACACACTGAGTGGCTGGGACTGGGGCAGGTGGGCAAGCACACCACGTACAGATGCCGGTTGTGTGATGCCCAAATGCAGATCATTCTCTCCCAGTGTAGGCAAGAATGCAAGGCCTACTATGGGGGAAGCTGAGGACACTTCTTCAAGTGGGCCTCTGTTCTGTAATTCTGGAGACATGCACAGTAGAATGGTCTCCTCTAATAGTACTTTGCCTCACAAATTCTCGCCACTTCTTCTTCCAGGAACTCCAGTCTCCATCTCCTCAACTCAGTGAGACTGCCGAGCTCTTCTTGGTTTTGCCCTCCTTGCATACTATGGCCTAGAAACTCCCTCCAGGCAGTGATAGGACAAGAATAGGGCCGACATCATTTTTTCCTTTCCTTCAGAAATCAGTTCGGTTCTCTCTGTTGTACAATGTCTTAAATTAGTTGTTTGATGTATTTTGTCCACTTTTTAATAGTTGTTTGTGGCAGGAGGGCAGTGGACATGGTTATATGTTTAGTGTATCTTGGTATGTTTGTTTGATTAACGCCTGGCTTTCCCCAGCAGATGGCTTTTTCCATGAGAGTGGAGACCAGTTTTGTTGCTGTTCACCATGTAAACTCACAGTATGTGCTTGATAAATATTCGTTGAATGAAATAATTATTTTTAGGTATAAAAAGTAAATATTTGTAGTGAGAAATCACACAAGTCATAACTTTAAAAAAATTGACCAAAAGCAACAATACAAAATCTAGGTAGAATGATACTATGATTATGTGGAAGGAAGAGGCCACCTAATAGCTAAAACAAACAAGTTGGATTTGTTCTTTTGTAAGCGACTCCGAACTTGGGCTTTATCACCACGTTAAGCCAATGGCCTGGGAAGGTACTGATGACATTGATGTATGGAGCTTCTGGAGAGTCCCAGCTGGAGAATTACAGGGACGACCTCCCCAGTCCTCCTGTTGTAACTATCTTCCATTTGTAAAGCAGCTTCTGTCTTGGTTATTTGGTTCTGGTAGAAACTGAACCATGTCAAGACTTTGCAACCTGAATTGACTATTAGTAAATGAGTATTATCTGATGCCAGAAAATTGGAAATATATAGCACATTCCATTATAAAACAAAAATGGTAAATGGAAGACTGAGCCCAAGCATGTCTGAAAAGCATGTAACTCATGGGCCAAGCTCCCATGGAGCTTCCCTCTGGCTTGCTGCTTCTCCCTCCGTCCACACTTATGTGCTCATGGGGATTTTAGGAGTTCTCTGGAACTGGTTAATAGTGAAGAAAATGCCACAGACCTGGTTCACAGTTGGATCTACCTGGAATGCCACTAGAGGACATCTACCATGGAGGGGGTTCTCCACAACCCAGATAAACAAGGCAAGCTGTCATGTGGATCCTCTTCTCCCACCTCCCTTGTACTTGCCCAGTACATCCATGTATAAAGTGGCCACATAGTCACAGATAGAAGTTATGCACGGA